TAAAATGTTTGAGAAGCTTCATTTAAAATTCAATTAAAATGCAGAGCCCCCCAGACCAGTGGCCAGGACCCGGTCAATGAGAGTGCCACTGAAAATCAGCTTGTGTGCCACCTTTGGCACGCATATCATAGGTTGCCTACCCCTGGACTATTCTGTAGCCTTTGCTGAGGGAAAGTGTGTGCAAAGAGGGAGGTGCGTACTAAGCTCTAAAGAGGTGAGTTGTGATTTCATACTGATCTCGGGAAGTAGAAAGGTTCACAGCTACAGACCCCTCCACCAAAGATGTCCTGCCACTATCTCCAATGAGTTTACCCCGGGGTTCCATTAGCTGGAATACCCTTGTTGACTGACATTCTTCTGCAGTTACCTTGTTTCTCTCTGAGCTGGACTTGGCAGATTGGATTGTTGAGTCTGTGAAGATCAACAAGCAGGCTGGCCCAGCCTCAAACATTTACGAGCCAACTGACTACTTGGGCTCTACAACTCTCAACCCAGTCTGAGCTTCTTCCAGTGGGGAGGGGAGAGGGAGAGAGGAAGGAAGAACTCACTGCCCACTCTATCCTCCAGCAGAGGGAAAACTCCTCATAACCTGAACCTCTGACTTTCATTTTGGGGTCCCACAAATCATAAGTCAAGCCCCAATTAACAGGGAGCTCTGCTGCTCAGTTCCACCTCACAATACAAGATTTATGGGAACAAAGGAGGACAGAAGTAAGAGGCACTATTTTCAACTGGTAAGAGTCAAGTATAAATCTGAAAACCTAGAGCCTACCCTGCTTTCCCAACTGCACACTCAGGGTCCTGTGAGTTTCGTGATTTCACACCTAGAAATTCGCTACCAAATTCATCCTTTGCAGCAGAACTGTGTTCAGAATTTAAACTCCTATTAAAATAAATTGTGGGCAAATTTTCAAGCCTAGGTGCTTTAGTTAGGCTCCTAAATCAAATTTTAGGAGCCTAAATAAGTGGCCAGTGTAGTCAGTGGAGTTCCTGTGAAAAATCTTTTTAGGGGGAATTTTTCAAAGGCACAAAGGGCTGTTAGGTACCTCACCCTACTGAGTCACCAGGAGTTGACTGCCTATCTCCAATTTTGCCTTTGAAAATCTTTCCCTAAATATGACTTTAGAAGCCTAATTTTAGGCACTCTGTTTGAAAATTCTGTCTTATGTTTTTAGCCCTCCTGGTTGTCAAGATAACTGACAAAGTGAAACGCATGCAGTGCTGTTTTTGAGTTTGTAGAGAGCCTGAAAGATTAGCTCACAGGTGTGAGCTACCTTATTCACCTCAACAGGAGTCACTTCCACTTATTTCACTGCTGAGCATTTTAGCAGAAACACCCAACAAATGCATTTACTCCAGAATCCATATGGTCGCCCAGACTGGCTACTGTTTGGCTATTATTTTTCATATTTAATTCTGAATCTCAATTTAAAAAAAACTTATCTGAAACTGCTGCAGAATTTCCAGTTTACCACATTGGAACCCTGCAAAATCCAGGAACTGGGCCACAGAATTTCAGCCCAGCTTTTCACGGAACACATAATGACTTGTGCACACGTCTCACTCTAGGTAACAGTGGCTCCTGCGGAGGGAAAGTTTATTCTCTGCACTCTACTCTCCAAGCAGAGCCTTATATTTTTGGGGTATGGGACACTAACTACATAGGCTTCTGAAAGCCTGGATGTGAAGGGTATGGTGTGCTGCAGCACAGGACCTGGTGTACGTACTTTGCGGAGGAACCACAGTAGCACTGTGAAAGCATGGACTGAACATTTACTTTTTTGAACTAGGAGAAGAGAGCAGGTCTGACAATTCTTTCAGCAATCTGGCTCCCTAACTATGCTTGTTCATGAGTCATATTCCAGTTTGTTTGATCTGGTTTGGCTTCGAAACAAGCCTATTCTCAGTACTGGCAAACTGATGTTTCCAGCTGAAGGCTTAATAAAAAGCATCAGAGGACCCCTTACCAGGCACCGTGTAAGATGTGGATTTACAGTTGTGGTCTCCACTGGTGCCCAGTTTGGGCAGATGATGGACAGTCACTTGGTACATCTGGCCAGGCTCCACCTCAAAGCGGTTGAAAGTGAAGTTCCACTGAAACAGAGGATGAGGATAGGGTCTTTATCCAGACAACTGATCTGTCAAGGCACTGAAATTAATAGCTGATCCTGTTCTGTCCCTCCATTCTTCATCTCTTTTGGCAGCTAGGGTGAGACATGGACTCCAAGCTAATTAAACCTGTCCAGAATTCCCCTGGCCCCGTCTCCATGTGCCTGTTCAGAATGGGAAGGGTAAGGCTACTTTTGGGCAGGTCTAAATCACTATATGGAAACTCTGGGCTGAAATGGGGGAATCACAACCCAGAAATCACTTAATTGTCTGGACAGATTTCAGTTATGTTCCAAGTTGAAAAGAGGTTAGTAATAATGGGGAAGCTAAGGGGAAAAAAGTATTTATACCCTTCAATACAATTTGTATGAGTGAAATTGTGCGAGCCAGAATAAATTCTGCAGTGCTCTGTAAGTGTACATATTTATATGGATAGCTAATTGCTTTGCCTTGGTGTTTCTCACTTCTATATCATTACCCACAATGCTCTTTACGTCAGTGAAGATGTCAAAATTCTGGAGAAGGTCACTATGCTCCTGTAGGCCAGAGTTTTTCTCCACAGCATGCTTAGGCTTGATCCTAAGAGGTACTGTGCACCTGCAAACACTATTGTCTTCAGTAGAAATTGCGGGTACTCAGCCTCTCTCTGAATAAGGACCTTAATGAATGAGAAGGGGTGGGGAAAGACTTTGACCCCTCTTATCCAAGTGCTTTCTTCCATGGTGTGGTTTAAAAAAAAAAAAAAAGATTTCGGGCATAAGGAAAGAGTGAATTAAAATTATGCTATAAATGCCATGACTACCATAGATGAAGCAATGATTGCCAAGATTATTTGTATTACAGTAGCATCCAGAAGCTCCACTGCTAGACAATGTACACACACACAGGGCTTGTCTACACTGGTAATTTACAGCACTGCAACTTTCTCACTCAGGGGTGTGAAAAAACACCCCCCTGAGCACAGCAAGTTTCAGCGCTGTAAATTGCCAATGTAGACAGTGCACCAGCGCAGGGAGCTGCGGCCCCAGCGCTGGTAGCTACACCCCTCATGGAGGTGGGTTTTTAGAACATTGCGCCAGCTCTCACCGCAGCTTTAGCGTTGCCAGTGTAGACTAGCCCTTAGTAATACATAGTCCCAGTTGCCCAGGAGGGCAGGTACAAGCCAAAGGACAGAAGTGGTGGGAAAAGGGAGCACTGACATTGTCCCCATTTTACAGACAGGGAACTGAGGCACAGAATACCTGATTTGCCCAAGGTCACAGAGGAAGTTGAGGGGGGGAGCTGGAAATTGAATCCAGACTTCCTGAGTCCCAAGTTCACTGCTTTAATCACAAGGCCATCCTTCCTGTTTAAGCATTCTGTGCTATTCATGGAGAAGCTTTGCTATTTGACTGAGTAAACAGGAAACAAAGCTGTGGGTTAGAAAACCATTTGTCAGAGCCCTCTTTACTCACCCGGCCTCCATCCGGACGGACCTGAAGTGGCAGATTGTTCTGAAAGTCAAACTGGGCACAGATTTGTTGATTATTGTTCAGTTGTAGCACAGCCAGCTCCACTCCCTGGAGATACTGAATGCTTGCTGAGGGGGGAGAGTGAAGGGGGGAGGTTAAAGTTTTGTTCTAGCAATTCCAAATCTAAAGATTTTACCTCACCCCACCCCCAGAGATTGCCAGCATTCCTGGGATATGTCACAGGTCCACTCCCATTCACTTTATCCCATCTGATTTATTAAGTCCCTTGCTATCAGCTACCTTCACATGACAAGAGCAGCCCATAAACTGCTGCACCAGTTTGTGGGGCACTTAAATGAAGTGCCATGGGAACTGGCACAAAAGATTCTGGAGAGGGATCTTAAGGAGACTGGCTGCAAGTAGGTGAATGTGGGGTCATGATAGAGTCTGAGAAGTCCCATTTTATTCATAATGCAAAATGCACTTGAGCTGCATGAACAGGCAGCAGAAAGTACGTCTAATAGATAAATCCAACCCTCCAACTTCACCTCAGAGTATCTCAGTGCTATAACCAGTCGTTCCCCACTCCCCCCCGGTCCTCCAGCCTTGCATCTCAGGGCAGGTCTACGCAGTTTTTGTACCATTACAACTATCATTTTAGAAACAAGCCTAGTTAAAGCAGTACCACCCTCTAGTGGGGGGGTGAGGGGACAGTTATAAAAGGTACTTGTATTAGAATAGCTTATTTCTGTAAATGTATAGAAATAAGTTATACTAATATAAGCACATTTATACCTGCATCCAAACTAAAATGGTACAACCCTCTAACTATATCTGTTTTTAAATTGATGTAAAAAAATGTCTCTTGTTTTTGTGGATACAGACTAATACGGCTACCCCTCTGATAAACTGATGTAGTTATAGTGGTACAAAAATGTGTTTAGATCAGTGCTCAGACAACTCTGGAGTGCACCCTTGACTCAGCAGACACCTAGTATTGTTCATCCTGACTCCAGCAATGGTCAGTTTAGGCTGACTAGTGTGTACAAAGGGGATTTCCCAAGTCTGTGAAAATCAACTATGTTTGAAGAGTGAAGGGAGAAAGCTGGAAGGCAAAACCTGCAATGGTTCCACACACCAACCCTTATTGTCACTGGCATGAATTTCACAAGGCACCCAGCTACAGAGCCTCTGGTGAGAACCAAGACACACATGCATGTAGGAAGTCTGGATTATAAAAACTGGATTTGATTATCCCAAATGGAAGAAACTTGCACTGGATTCAAGACAGCTGCACAAAAGTGACATTTATTCTGCCTGGACCGACTCATAACCTGTACTATTCATAGTACAAGAAGGAATATAAAGCTATGAATAGTACAGGTTAGGAGTCTGTCCAGGCAGAGTAAATAAAAGTCTACTCTTCCCTCTCTTCTCCTTTCCATTAGGCCTTCCCCAACTTCTGGTTCTGTAGACACGTCTTTTTACTATTATGAGCTCTTCAACCCTTAAACAATTCTTAGCTTCTAGTAAATGGAATGTTTTCTAGCTAGTTCCTCTTGCCATCAGTCTGTGCACATTTGTAAACCTAGTTTGTAAGATCCATCTGCATATTCAGGATCAGTTTAGAGTAAACCTCACTCAGTACTGTAGTTGAGATTTTCAAAGTATCTATGAAATATAAACCTGTTTAAAAAAATCAGACTATAGTGATCCCAGTTTAGGGCTTTGGACTGCAGGTCTTTATCTGACACCGACTGCACTGGGAGCCCACCCTCATCTTGGTAAAGTTAAGCACCACTATTGTGCCTTATTTTTTCCACATTAAGTGCTGCCCTTCCATTCTAATAGCAGCATTTGATCTCTGTTGCAGATTAAGTAATGAGGGAGGGACAATTGCACTAACTTTTACTCATTTCATGTCCTTTGACCCAGTAGACAAAGCTGTCCAAAACCCATCTCAAAGCTCAACTTCCACAGCTGAACCAGTGAATGACCGCAAACACTACAGTCCCATCACTCTCTTTCAGAGATTCTATAATCTCTCTAAGCACCTTCCCTTCCATGTCTATGTTAAGCGATCACTTACCATCAGTAGCCACCATCCACTCTATCCGCAGCACAGGGAGCAGTTTTCCCTCATCATGGAAAACGTCAGGGTGGACATCAAGAACGCTTGGAGCGGAGGGAGTCCATTTTAAAACCTGTAACCAGCTCTGGTCCATGCAGGTACCTGTCAGTCAAATCAAAGATGTTTCTTAAGCTTATTTCCACCATGGTTCACTGCTGGATGACATAAGACCTGCACAAGTGCATGCAACTATGCCCTCCTCTAGTGCAGTGGTCTTCAATCTTTTCTCATTTGTGGACCCCTAAAAAAATTCAAGTGGAGACATGGACCCCTTTGGAAACCTTAGTCTGTGGACCCCCAGGTGTCTGTGGACCACAGGTTGAAAGCTACTGTTCTATGGTAACAACAATCTTTCGCAGACCCCTTAGACAGTCTGCAGGTCCACAGACCACAGGCTGAAAACCAGTAAACCCTGCTGGCAAGGTCACTGACATTTTCTTTCATAGTTCTTGTAGAGGAAAGCCGTGTTCTGAGTGGAAGTAGACCCAGCCATGCTATGTGAACTATGAATACTATAATCTTGATTCATCTTCTGGGGAAAATATTTTTCTTTGTACATTTTTAAGGCAAAAAAGGGAACATTATGATCACCTAGTCTGATCTCCTGGTCAAAACAGGCCATAGAATTTTGCTCAGTAATTCCTACATCAAGTCCATAACTTCTTGTTGAACTAGCTCTTATGTTTTAAAAAGAAGTCTAATCTTGAAGTTAAAAAACTTCAACTTGATGAAGAATCCACCATATCCCTCTGGCAATTTGTTCCAATGGTTAATTACTCTAATTGTTAAAAAATTCTGCCTTATTTCTAGTCTGAGTATGACAGCTTCAGCTTTCAGTCATTGGCTCTTATGTTTTGCTAACTTAATGAGCCCTCTGGATGGGAATATAATCAACATGGCTTTATGGAAAAAGTCATGTCAAACCTGATTTCATTTTATGATGAGATTACAGGTTTGATTAATAAAGGTAACTGCATAGATGTTAAATACCTAACTTACTACCACACAACATTCTGATTAAAAATAGCACTATACAGTATCAAACCACACACTGAGTGAATTAAGTAGTGGCTGACTGACAGATCTCAAAAAGCAGTTGTCAATGGGGAATCATCATTGAAAGGGGCTATTTCTAGGGGAGATCTGCGGGGATCCGTGCTAGGCCCAATGCTGTTTGGTATTTTTATCAATGATCTGGAAGTAAATATAAAAACATTGCTAATAAAATTTATGGAAGACTGGCAGAGAAGTATATAATGAAGTAATCAGGATTGTCATACACAGACCTGAATCACTTTATAAACTGGACCCAATTCAGCAAAATACATTTTAATACAGCCAAACATAAGGTCATACATCTAATAACAAATACACATCATACCTACAGAATGGGGGACTGTATTCCAGAAAACAGTGATTCTCAAAAGGATTTAGGAGTTATAGTAGACAAACAAAAGCTCCCAATGTGATGCTGTAGCAAAAAGGGCTAATGCAATCCCTGGAGGTATAAACAGAGGAGGAGTAAGCATGGAAGTGATTTTATGTCTGCATATGGCATTGGTGAGATTGATATGGAAATACTGCAGCTAATTCTGGTGTCCACATTTAAAAAAAAAAGGGCGTTAAAAATAGGAAAAGGTGCAGACAAGATCAATAAAAATATCTGAGGGCAGGAAAAATGCCTTACAGTGAGCTCTGTTTAGCATATCTAAAAAGATCAAGAAGCGACTTGATTATGGTGTATAAGTACCTTCACAGGAAGACACCACCAGGCACTTAAGGGCTCTCTATTGTAGAAGATAAAGGCATAACAAGAATAAATATCTGGAAGCTGAAGCCAGACAAATTCAAATTAGAAATAAGGCACACAATTTTATCAGTGAGAGTAATTAACTATTGGAACAAAATACCATGGGAAACAATAAATTCTCCATTTCATGAAGTCTTAAAATCAGGATTGGATTTCTCTCTGGAAGATATACTTTAATCAAATACAAATTATTGATCTTAATACAGGAGTAACTGGATTAAATTCCATGGCCTGTGTTATATAGGTCATCAGACTAGATGGTTTAATAGTGCCTTCTGGTCTTTAGAAACAAACAATTATGAATCTACCATCAGCAATCTTATTCCCATTTAGGTACGTCTACACTGATCAGGTTCTCTCTTAACTTTCTCAGACAAAACCAAACAGATTGAACTTATTTAGTCTTTCACGGTAAGGCAGGTTTTTTAGATGTTGAATCATTCTTGTGGCTCTTTTCTGAACCCTTCTGGTTTGTCAACATCCTTTCTGAAGTTCCAAAACAGTCTCACTGATGCTATATATACTGGCAATAACAACTCCCTATTTCTACTCAATATTCCCCATCTTATACAAACAAGGATTTCATTTGCTCTTTTAGTCACCACATTGCACTGGGAGCTCACATTAGGTGGTGACTTCCATCAGTATGTTATTTGCAAACTTTACAAGCAATGATTTTACATCTTCTTCCAGATCATTAATTAAAGTATTGAATAGCATTGGGTCAAGAATGATCCTTATGAGAGCATACCAGAAACACACCCTGTGGATGATGATTCCCCATTTACAATTACTTTTGCAGACCTAACAGTTAGTTAATGGATTTAAAAATCTCGCTATGTATCATATCAATTTCATATAATGCTAATTTTTAAATGCCATAAGGTATTAAGACAATGCTTACATAAGTCTAAGTATATTATGTCAGTTACCTTTGTCAACCAAACTTATTACGGCATCAAAAACAGTATCAAGTTTGACCAGGCCTATTTTCCATAAAACCTTGCAAACTGGAATGAATTATACTACCAGCCTTTAATTCTTTACTTATTGCACACCCCATTAGCCTTTCCATGCTTTTGCCCAGGATAGATGTTAAGCAAATGGCCTATCCAGAGCATCCCTTTTACCCCTTTTTAAATACTGGCTCATTAGCTTTTTCCTCTGGCACTTCCCCAGTTCTGTACTTCCAGATTTCTTAAACACCCAGTGAATTAAATATTCAGTTCACTTAATGGCTTAGAGAGCTGCTTAGCCAATTCTTTAAAAACTCTTAGAGTATGTTATCCAGTCCTGCAGATTAAAAGAGGTTTAACTTTGGAAGTTGTTTAATATCCTTCCTAGTTACTGTTGGAATAAGAAGTATTTAATTTTCCACTGTAAGACACAAATACAACACCCAGTTTCTTCCCAAGTAGAGAATATAGCTATCGAACACTTCTGCCTTTTCTGCAGCATTCCTGATAATTTTAACATACCTATCTAGTAATGGACCTATATTATTTTGTTTCCATTTTGTATCAATTTTCTGAAGATCATGCCTGCTAATTTACAGTAACTTCTTTCAACTTTTTCATCGTTTTATTGTTCTTTAGCAGCACTAAGTTTACGTCTAATTTTACCTGCTGACTTAGTGAGCGTAGTGTGGGATGGACATGTATTACACACAACAAACTTATCCTAAAATCTTACCATAATTTTTTTTTTTGAATTGACTCAGTTTTGAACAGAAGCTAAAAAATTATGGATTTGCTCTTTCAAGAACTCTGGCCTGAAAAGAGGTCTGAAAAGAGACCTGAATATTTGCCTGTTGGAAAGAGCTGGTTTTGGATTAGGCAGGCAGATAATAGCTCATAATGCTGGTTAACAGGATAATGCTTTACTTTGCCACCTCTCAGTGGCTTAGACAGAGGCACTCACCATCTGACTTCAGTTATAAAAAAAGAAGAAAAACTGACTTACTATTTCTTACGAGACAGTTTAGATCCTGTGGAGAAAACAAGAAAGTTATTGAGAGATTAGACGTTGTTTTCTCATTTATTCATCCTGATCTGGTGACAGAGGGGTACAGAGAAGAGCAACAAGTATGGCCTGGAAAAACGGACTTACCAGGAAACAGTAGCATAGCTAGGCTAAATTACAGCTCAGGGGTAGGCATGAGAACTATCTGCAAGCACTTGAATGGAGCAATTAGGGTCACATTATTGCTAGGAGTAATGGGATGACATTAAAAGAAAATTTAGGTTGAATATCAGGAAAAGCTGCCTAAAATGAAGTCCAGTTAGATTGTAGAATAGTCTTGCAAGAGAGGTGGTGAAAGTCCCATTGCTTGAATCAGAAAGGTCTGTCTTTGCCATGATGGCTACAAATTATTACCATCCAGCACTGGTCATGCTGGCAGCCACCTGCGACTTCTGAGATCATTTTGACCTACATTGTGAGCTCTATGGCGCAGAGCCTGTCACTGTGGTATTTGTTCGTATGAACAATGTACCCTAGTACAATGAAGCCCTCTTCTGTATTTGAGGTCCATAAGTGCTAGAACAGAATAGAATAGAAATAAATACAGTCGCTTTAAAACTGGATTGGACAAATCACTGGAGAGAAACTGTAGAGAACAATCCTGCATTGCCTCAAGGGAGATGGACTGCATGAGCTAATAGTTGTTTTCCACCTTTAATTTCTATGATGCTCTTCTGAACCAAGGCACAAAGTGTTTTAGCATCTTTAATAAGTACCAGTCCTCTAAAAGGAGAGCCTGTTTTTATCCTCTTGAGAACCACTTTTAAAGCTAAACTACAAACGGGGGGAAAATGAGTTACTGCCCTTTTATACTTTATGAAGAATCAAGATGGCCTGAAAAGAAATAAAAAGGCAGAGGGAATGTGATTCTACTTCTTTTTCCACATCTGGTCTACCTTGGAAAACTATGGTCTTGTCTTCACTAGGAAACTGGTGCATTCTTAACCTGAGAGTTAGCAAACATGAGGTAAAAATCCTAGTGAAGACAAAACAGTTTGTAGTTTCCATAGGATTTATAGGCTCCCTCATAATCTCTGGCTTCATTATATATATATATATATATAAAAAGTGTGCTTTTACAGAAAGAACTTGCTGCAAAATTCTAGTCTTTGCTGAAATTTCAACAGTCACTCCCTCTTCAATTAGTGTGGGAGAACTCACAAATTATCCAAACCTCAAAAAAAATCCTTCAGCAAATCAGGGAAAACCAAATTTGACATTACAGATGTTTTTAAGGTAACAAGAAAAATTAAAAGCCTCTTCCAGGCCCTTGTTACATACACCATAAAGTATAAAAGGGTACAAATGTAATTTTAACAATAGTACTTTGCAGGTAAACATATCTGCATGCCCGTAAGAAATATCACAGAAGTACTTAAGGAACAGGTACTTAATTTACTACAAAATTCAGGTCACATCAAAGGTCATCATGTCAGAGAACTTATTACAAATCTGGAAAATATTGTTCCAATGGCATGCAGCAGGCCGTTCAAGTTGTGCCAATCCAAGAGGAGGTAGAGTGACTAATCTGGCCATTCTAAATTTGTGAGTTACACAGAGACTTATTTCAGAGTAGCAGCCGTGTTAGTCTGTATCCGCAAAAAGAACAGGAGTACTTGTGGCACCTTAGAGACTAACAAATTTATTAGAGCATAAGCTTTAGACAAACCGGACAGTCTCTACGCAAAAGAATTAATGGACACAAATCTGACATCAGGAATCATAATACTCAAAAACCAGTGGGAGAACACTTTAACCTGTCTGGCCATTCTATGACAGACCTGCGGGTGGCTATCTTAAAACAGAAAAACTTCAAAAACAGACTCCAACGAGAGACTGCTGAGCTGGAATTGATATGCAAACTAGACACAATCAACTCAGGGTTAAACAGGGATTGGGAATGGCTGAGCCATTACAAACATTGAATCTATCTCCCTTTGTAAGTATTCTCACACTTGCTTCTTATCAAACTGTCTGTACTTGGCTACCTTGATTATCACTTCAAAAGTTTTTTTTCTCTTACTTAATTGGCCTCTCAGAGTTGGTAAGACAACTCCCACCTGTTCATGCTCTCTGTATGTGTGTATATATATCTCCTCGATATGTTTCACTCAATATGCATCCGAAGAAGTGGGTTGTAGCCCACGAAAGCTTATGCTCTAATAAATTTGTTAGTCTCTAAGGTGCCACAAGTACTCCTGTTCTTTTTACAGAGACTTATGTAAGGATTTACCTGAGAGCTAAAATAAACTTGGTGAAGAATGTTTTCATTTACAAGGGACATTGTCAAGTAGCTTATGTTCAACACTGAGGTTTTGAAAAACAAAAAGAGTTTCACTAAAAGTGGCAGTGCCTATACTCACTACTATCTTCCTAACATAGAATTAGGGTTAAGGTAGGAAAACACCCTCTCAAATTCAGAGAGAATCAGAGCCTCCAGCTGTTACTCAATAAGAGAGGAGGGGGAGAAGAAACACCAACCTCCCCCCCACCCCAAACCAGCAGCTCATCAATGGGAATGACCATTGCTCCCACCTCACCTGGACCCCTTACTTCTAGACCCCAAATAACTTATTGGGTGGGAAACCAGACTCATTACTAGATTCCAGCACTAAGGCCCCCGATTCTGCAAGCACTTAAGCATGTGCCAGAGTCCCACTGAAATCAGTGTTTCATCTTCAGCTTTACTGAACTGGGGCCTAAGCACTGGGACCACTAAAAACTCTGATTAACTGTGCCCTCCAGTGGGTAGAAGGACCATCATGATCAGAGCAATACTGAGATTACACTTAGCTTCAAGTTTAATATTAATGGAAAAAATACTTGGCAGGTCAGGCCTCTATCTTTAAAGGTCTTAACACACTAAAATTAGTCAGTCAACTAAAGTTGATATATTGAACCATGGCACTTAAACTAATTAAGTTAAATTGATGCAACTTGTATGTTTAGACAATTCCTAAATTGGATTTCTATCATTCTAACATTCTATCAGTGTTAATAAAGCGTCTAAACACAAGGGGGGACATTTTCTCACCACTTTTATATCTTCAAATGAGAACAGTTTGCTTGGACTGAAACATTCCCACGTAGCATCTGCAACCCAAACTCTCTTGTACTTTCCCAGTGAATGAGAAGTAGAAAGTGATTAGATATTGAGTAAACCAATGTGAGGCCAGCTAATCTATTTGTACTGTTCAAATTGAGAGAAACAGAATTAAAGGAACATAATAAACGTTGAAACAAATTTAATTATCACAAAAACTTAAGTGTTAGTAACAGAATTAAAGGACACATAAGAATTAAAGGACACATAAGGGTATGTTATTTTACCTGAAAATGTCCCTTTAATCAATAAATTTAAAGAAAGTAATAGGTCACAGATTATGAAAATTCGATTTAAAAAAAACCAAACATTCAAGATACAAAAGGACAAGTCTGACAAACAATTACTTTCCTTTAGATAAAACCAATCACCTAAATGAAATCATTCTGTACTTGGACAATTTTAGATTACCAGTAATTACTGTAAACTGTACTTCATAATAAAGTCCTTGCATAAATGATGATAAGTTATTTACACAAAAGGCAAAGCCATCTGCTTTCATTTAAGTATTGTTTTTTCTTATCAGCGGATAAGTCATGGGTGCCTGGAAGCACAGCAGCTGTTCCAACATTTCTTGGTTTGGCACCCACTGGGAAACATTTGACAATTGCAGGCCCAAAGGGAATATAGTCCCACAAGAAGCAGGTTCTTGGGTGGAGAATTTGGAAGCAGCAGCCAGGAGTTCTGCCTTTGCAGAGAAGGACTGCTTACTCACTCTGGGCAGAAACTGTGGTTCTTTGAGATGTGTCCCCCTGTGTGTGCTCCACTCTAGGTGCGCTTGCACCCCCGATAGCTTCAATTGGAGACTTTTCATAGCACAGGCCAAACGGGTACTTCATGTGTGTTACTCAGACTCCTGGCATTGTTATATAGCACTGTGTTGGCTAACCATCCTCAGTTCCTTCTCTACTGCAAAACCTGCCCCCATGACAGGGAACTCTGAAGCAGAGGGGAAGGAGGGCAGGTAGTGGAACAGCCATAGGGACACACATCTCAAAGAATCACAGTTACTGCACAGGGTGAATAACCATTTCTTCTTCTTCTTCAAGTACCATCTCTATGGGTGCTCTACTCTAGGTGACTTCTGAGCAGTCTCCCTTTAAGGAGGAGTGAGCTTCAGTCCAGTATGGAAGAAAGTACAGCTGAGCCAAACACAGTATCGGAAGCAGAATTGCAAATTATTGCATAGAAGCCCAAGTTGTGGCTTTACATATTTCAATTATAGGAACTTTCTTAAGAAAGACTGTGGAGATGGAAATGGATCTCAGAGTGAGCTCGTATATCAGTGGGTGCTTCGAGAAAATGAGACTGGTAGCAGCTACTAATACAGTCAGTTCTCCACCTAGAGAGCATCTGTTTAGAGATTTTTAGCTCCTTTTGTTCGGTCTGTGATTGAGACAATCTGGAAGTCTTCTTGAAATGTTTAGTACTATCAAGGTAGAAGGCTAGGGCTTGCCTGACAGAGTGTGTGGAAAAACACCTCCCGCTTATCCCAGTGAGGTTTAGGGTGGAAGATGGGGAGGTGAATAGGGTGATTAATATAGCAAAAACTTGGGGTACAGTCATGTGACCTTGTCTCTGAAAAATATTGTGAATGGGGATATATGCCATAAAAGCCCCTATTTCCCCCCAACTCGTCAAGCTGATATGATAGCACCCAGAAATGCAGTTTTTATCAATTAATGGAGGAGTGCACAGGCAGCCACAGATTCAAACGGTGGTCTTGTAAATCATTTAAGAACCAAATTGATGTCCCAAACCGAAATAGGGCATTTAACTGGCAGAAAAAGGTTTCAGAGGCCTTTGAGAAACCTCATTGTCATTGGGCAGGCAAATACAGAGTACCCCTCTATTGGAAAATG